AAGTGTGTGTGTGATAAATAAAAGTTAAAGAAACAACAAGCTTAACACCTGTAATGATTGCTTCGATTTATCTTCTACTTCTCTTTTTAATCGTTTTTGTACATAGTATTATTGTGTAGGATGACATTCATATTTTACATTAAAGTTTTGTTTGGTTAATAAATACGTAGCAATTGGATATTTTCCCTTTTTATAACATTAGTCTATATATATATACCCATTATATTCGGTTCTGTGATAAGTCGATTATATATATTATCTATTCATGATAAATGAAAATGCTATTAACTCTTTGGATAATTTATATGTGAAGAAAAAAAGAGTTGAATTTCAAATAAATGAACCAAGGAAACGAAACAGATATGCCAAATTATAATAGGACTGAAATCAAAATGAGAAATATTTAAAAGACATTAAGGCGCTTTGTACGCTATACCAATTAATCGGTTTTACTGTGAGATTAAATATCTATTATATCTCTTTAAGTTTTCTGATCAACACTATCATAATAATCTTTTTTATTATCAGTAGAAGCAAATAGTAAATCTATTTAATATACTCATTAGCAAAACTATATGTATTAATTTAAATTATCCATAAGTATAACCGCTTTCAACACTTGATCGATGATTAACTTGTCGAGTAGATGAAGACTGTGTCATACAACCAGTAAATATGATTATTGCAACGAAAGCACCACAAATAATTAGAAATAATATAATACCACCAACTATCAATCCAACAATGAGTAATGTATTATCTGATGATGATTCTATAGGGTTTAAAACATGTCACAAGTATAACAGCATTACATTAAAAAAAACTACCTTGCGCACCAATTTGTGGTTGTGGTAAAGATTCTTGTTGAACTTAAAAAGGAGTAAAATATTAGATATAATTAATAATTTAATAGATCCTACTGATAATTTGTTGTGGACCTGTTGGTTGCGGTGGTGGTTCTTCAGAAATACAGCAAAGATTATTACAAAAAATTAAATTTAAATACATACTATTTCCAACCAATAAATTACCAACTAAATCAATAGCTATAGGTGCTAATGCTCCAACAATTGGTGCAATTCGTTGATTTGTAAATCGAGAACTCAAATTATGTTTTTCAGAAATGGCTGCCACTTACAAATAACAAATTGAACAAATATTTCAATATAAAAATCTTCTTCTTTTTCAAACTTACTACCACAAATGAATAACATTTCTTCATGACATTTTAATCGACGTAAGCATAATGAACCATTTTTTGAGTTCTCTTTTCTTATAGCTACGCAATCAAAAGTAGAATTATCCTTATTTTCATTACACCAAACATCTTCAAGTTCTTTAACTATTTTTTTGGAAAATAAAATTAACTTCAAAATAAGAAAAATTAATTTACTATCATAACTATCTATCCATGCTCCAAGACGAAAAAACAGTGTGATCGCACTTGAAAATGAACTATTTAATAATGCATTTACTTGTAATTCAAATCTTTTAAATTCATCTATATTCTGTATTCGATAGAGTTGTGCAGAAAATGAATGACAAATATCATTTGCTTGATTATAGGAAAGACCATTTTCAGATGGTACAGCAAATGAAACACAATGATTCTTTTCCCATAGAATCCAACCTGGTAGACAATAGAAACAATCGTTTTCTTCATAATTCCAAAATAATGATGATTTTGGACATAGGCATTTATTTGTATTTGAACATATTAATGGATTGATACATGAAAAATTATTAGAACATGACTCATTAAATGAAGCTAGAACTAATATAATAAATAGAGATATTGTATATAACTTAATTATTATATTTTACCTGAAGAAGAATTAGATAACTTGAGTAATGTATATAGAACGTAGGTAAACCCAAGCAGAAAGCGAAACATAGAATATGAAAATATTTATTGTAAAATATAGAAGATAAAGCGCGATTGTTTCAAATACAAGCTTGTTTTTTTTCGACATAGATGAAAGATCATGAATGTATTCTGTTTTCTATATATGAATAAGTATTCAGCAATTAATTATTAGTGACTAACATAACTTAAATCAGATGCAGTAGTGTCCGTACTAGTACGATTAGGTCGAGAATGGTGATGTCTTGTTAATCGTGTTTCTATTATTGAATCTTTGTTACGTGTACCAAGATATAGAAGACGACCACCACAAAAGCAAAATAGAATGATCACAACAACAATGATAATGATGATAATAGCTACTGAAATGTAAAAAAGTGACTTGAATATAAATATCGGCAATATTTTGTTTTTATTTTAATACGTACATACAATATATAAAGTGAAATTGTTATCTGATGATGCTATACAAAAATCTGATTTAGTAAAAATAAATCGAATAAAATAATAGTACACACATGATGGTCGTTGAGCGTGAGGGTTTGGCGATACAGATATAATTTCTGTAGTATACAATGTGCAAAATATTTACTATTCAAATATGTTATACATCATACGTATTTCTGGCTGTTGTGGTTCTGGTGCTGGCTGTTCTAAACAAATATCATAATAGATTATGTTTAAAATATTTTTATACAAAAAAATTGTATAGGTAACATACGACTTGACCCGAAAAGATTTCCAGCCAAATTAATGATCGGTCCAATCAGAGCTGACCAAGCTCGTTCGATAATTGCAAAATTATTTATCGTATTATTGACTTCAAGAGTTTCAGCTAATTCTAGAAAATACTAATTTAATGAATGATTATTTTAGATAGACAATTCAACATTCGAACGAAGAACTAACTTTCACAAATATATGGTAAATTTTCATTACATTGAGTATATCTTAAACAAAACGAAGTGACATTATTCTTGTCCGGATATTTTTTCATAAGACGAATACAACTATTCCATAGGAGATGATTATGTTCATAACCTGTATCACACCATTCAAATAAGTTGGTTTCTTCTCTACCTACATTCAACAATTTATTTTAAACAAATATTTTATCATCTTACTCATCCAAACACCATCACTTAGAAATTTCCAATCTATATCATCTACTTTGTATTGAAGTTTCATAAAATCTTCATCATTATCTATATGTAGTAGTTCAGATGAATATGTTAAACAACTATTTCTTGCTTTTTCATATGTAAAATCATTCTTTGATGGCATAATAAATAAAAGACATTTTTCATGTTGCCATTCTATCCATCCTGATGGACAAGATAAACATGAATTTTGTTTCGTATTCCAAAATGATGATGGGCTTGGACAAATACATTTACTTGAGTTTGAACAAATCAACGGATAATGACAAGATAAATCATTTGAACAAAAATCATTGAACGATACTAGAATAGTATGAGGTGAAATGAAGGTCGTATGTTTATTTTGCCACTAACCTGATAATACGGATAAGATAAAGATAATATATAGAACACAAGCGAACTCAAAATGAGAACGCAACATAGAATATTATTTATTTTTATTTTAGAATAAAATATATTCATTGTTACTATACAACTTAGTAAACTATAATTTATAAGTAACTATAGTATTCAAATTTATTTTTAACAAAAGATTACATATTGCATACAGGTGATTAGGATTCGATAAATTTATATTATTAAGGTATTGATTTTAATTTCAAGAGCCTATTCTCACTACCGATGTAGAGAAATATGTTCTTCTCTTTTTTTTTTATATCAAAACATAAAAATTCAATTTAAAATTTCCATATGATTAAGATGTTGCATCGCTAGCAGTTGAGTCGACACTAACTCGATCACGTTGTCGTCGAAAACGTGATGGTCTTGTTGGTGTTTTTGATGCTTTATCATTCTGCCAAAGAAAAAAACCACCACCAAAACAGCAACAACAAAGTAAGACCGATATGAGAATAATAACAGCAACACCAACTAATACTCAACATAAAGTCTTATATTTATCAATATAATAAAACTTACTTGCAATGTAGATTATCGTATTATTTGACTTGGAAGCTTCTATTAAATATTAACCAAATAAATACAATGAAATAATGTAATAACATACGTGGTAATAGTTGTTGTGGTGCATTTGTATGATCTAGAATAGAAGGAAATCTTTGAAAACGATTTCGTTATTACTTTTGTTTTACATATTATTTGTGGTGCGTAAGTTGGTGATACTGTAGGTGCTAAAACCGAAACGATATGAATATACATACATATCATATTTTTACAACTTACCAGCAGGCAAAAATATATTTCCGATGAAACCGGATACTATATCAATAAATCTTTTATGATGTTTCGCATTATTTCGAATTAGTGCTGATTCTGTAAAATACTAGTGCAAGCAAGGTAAATGTATTTACAAAATATTACATAGCGAATAACTTACTCTCGCAGATATATGACAATTTTTCATTGCATGGAACATGATTTACACAAAGAGATGTATCGTTCTTACGGTCTGACGATGTTTTTGTAATACGAATACAATCATTTGAAAGAAACGCATCAGATTCATATTTCATATTGCACCATTTAGATAAATTAGTCCGTTTTCTATCTACATTCAACAATTTATTTTAAATAAATATTTTATCATCTTACTAATCCAAATACCATCACTGAGAAATTTCCAAACTATATCGTCTTGTTTATCTCTCAACAGTTCATCTATTTTGTATTGAAATTTAATGAAATCTTCATCATTATCTATATGTAGTAGTTCAGATGAATATGTTAGACAACTATTTTTTGCTTTTTCATATGTAGAATCATTCTTAGATGGCACAATAAATAGAAGACATTTTTCATTTTGCCATTCTATCCATCCTGATGGACAAGATAAACATGAATTCTGTCTCGTATTCCAAAATGATGATGATGAACTTGGACAAATACATTTACTTAAGTTTGAACAAATCAATGGATCATGACAAGATAAATCATTTGAACAAAAATCATTGAATGATACTAGAA